TGGGTCCTCACCCAAAACACAAAACAGAAAGTGCTAGTTGTTGTGAATAGAAATTTACAAAAAGATGTTCACCAATCAGATAAAATAGATAGATAACATGTACAAATCAAAATTCGATTTTACAATAGAATACAAAAAGATCTCAACATTTCTAATTCCCATTTTTTCCCTTTTAAAAATAAACAATAATAATTAAAAATATATAGAAATATTATTAAATAAATATAACATCACAGTTTTATAATACTAAAATAAAAACATCATTACAATGATTATTCACGTTCAAAATAAATATGAAAATGTAAATCAAACATAACATAGTGATTATGTCAAGTTAATGTTCATTAACAATAACAAGTTTACATACCAAAAAAATTTATATCAAATTAATATATTTAGAATAAAATAAAAATGTTTTTTAAAATTATCGGATCAAACTAGTTTTGCAATTTTTTACTTAACTTTTAGTGATTTCATAGTGAGTTTTATCGGTTTTAGCTGAATTTAAAATTGTTTTATTTTATATGATAAAAGGTTCGTCCGTAAAAATTACAAGTTGAATATTTTGGTATGACCCGTATAAATGAGGGTTTGTTAATAGTTAAAAAAAAAATTGGACACATTATATAATAAATATATTAATTTTTTTATTAACTTGTTAGAATTTAAATTCATAAAAATTAAAATAAAATATAATAATAATTTATCTTAAAGAGAAAATTTAATTGATATAAATTTTAGTTAGATATTTAATTTTTAATTTCATAACAAATTCTTTGATTACATTATAATTATCTTTAATCATAATTGATTTTAAATTAAGTTAAAAAATAACTAAAATATTAATAAATAATGGATAAGGCAATATAAAAATTTATAAATTTAAATATTAAAAAAACTATGTAGACTCGTCCGTGTTACCTGGTTTGCCATGTAGATTATAGATTATGTGGGATGGACCTACACCGATTAAAATAAGTTGAAAATGTGTAACTTATTCTCTATTTTTCCTTATGGATTTAGATATGTCCCACTTATAAAATACATTAAATTGTTTGATTAATGTATCCTAATTTTGATTATATTACTCTATAAAATGCACATTTATTAAAATACAAACAAAAATATAAAGTGATCATGTAAAAGAAAATAGAAAATACTTGCGCACATCAAATTCCTTCCCAGAATTACACACTCATTGTCAACCCTAGATTTTAGCCATCAAATAACTCTACTCTCTATACCAAGAAGTGGAAAACAACTACTTAACCTATCTTTAACAATTTGAAATCAAACACTTAGGGTTAGAAAAATATCATTTTGCTTGATTTTTTAGAAACCTTGAAGCACTCGAGAAAATCCCAAAAAACATATGTTCTTCTATTTAGATATTTGATCCAATGACTTTTTAGTTCTCGGATACTTTTATTTCCTAAAATCCTGGTCTCTCCCTCTCTTTCCTTCTTCAAAATATGTGCACACCTTGTATAGGAAAAAAAAAAAAAAGTCTTTGCGTCAATTTTAACTAAATTTAATCAATTATTGTTGTTGGGTATATAATTGATTAATTTGTTTTTGAGACTACCGCAACAATCAAATTAATCTATTGTATTGTTGTATTAGTATAATTGAACATGTTATAAAAATAGTTGACGACAATGTACTATGAGGCATTTGTGTTTGAAAACTACTGTGTATTATTTTTAACGTTAATATCTTCGTAATCTTTTCAAATTTTGTGTTTGTGAAAGCTATAAATGACTCCCTGTCAAATAATAATCTTTGGAGTTTCACTATCTCGAATTGAATTTATAGATTAATCGAGAGTTACTTCAAGAGTTTTTTTTTTTTTTTAGTCGGAAATAACAGTTAAAAATACATATTGCAATAAATTCCTAAGTTGAAAGTGAATTGGATAATTTAAGCTGAAAGAATCAATATAAATTAATTATTCATTATCTAATGTTTTATTTGACCGACCTATCACGATTTTAGTGTTGGATGAAAGCTATTAAAAAAAAACATTTTTGAATTTGTTTTGTATATGGTTTGTAAAATATTTATAAAAAAGTTTCGACTCTTTGAATATATTATTGATGAAATGATTATATGTATTTTTATGATATTCTTAAATCGTTGATGTGATGTTAAATTGTATAAGATATTAAGTTTTGTTAGGGGTTAATTGGAAAGAATATTTTGTTATTGAAAAAGAGAGAAGATGATAGTCGAGGGTTCAATTATGTGTATGTAAAGATTAAAGACCTTTCCATAAGCCTTTCACAAAACTAGAATAAAACAAGTTTCCAAATGATTTCACAGGTCCTTTCTAAGCTCACCTGTATTCAAAATTCTTTTAATATCAATATATATTTCAAATTTTTTTAAATAATATAAATTATGTTTAGTACGAATTTTATATTATTTAGAGTCAAAATTAATAGTAATTTATATATAACTTCCTCCCTTTAATCATTTATATAAACTTTCATTTTTTAACATACTTATGATAATTGATCTTGTCGAAATATTTTTTGTTTAACCATAACAAATTAAAATATTAAAAAAAAATACATACATTAAAATACTAATCTTTATAAATTATCCTCAACTAAGTATTAAACAATATTAGAGTATTAATTGCATTATAAATATTGAGTTTCTATGCCACTAATGTATACGAATCTTGGGATATGGTATTTAATCTCACATCTTTGACTTAATCTTGGTTACAACATATTCCCCCACTAAATCTCACCTACATCAAATTTGGTTAAAAACTTGACCCACGCGTCATTGTCTTCCCCACACAAAACAGAATATATTTGATGGCACCTGAAGCTGTATGTAACATACCAAAGCACTTGTATTTGATCTCATTAATTAATTTCCTTACATATGTTTTTGATGGTACGATGAATGCTAATGGAGTTACTCAAAGCATTTATAATGTGTCACTTTAAAGAAGTGGGCGACAACAAAATCATTTTGTGAAGGAATAAAATCACTTGTCCATATCCCAATCCTAATTAATACCAAACCTTTGTATTCACCACTTTATATAGAAGCATCATGCTGCAAAACATGTTTCTGCATACCTAGCAAAAATAACCTAACTTTTCCATATATTATTTGCTATGATACCTCAAAAGGAAGGTGGAAGTTTATTTTTATTTTCATGCCCAGTTAGGTATTATACTTATTATTTTTCAGTCAAATTCGAAATTCTGCTTTCATAATAATTTTTCATGCATTTTAATATCATACTCTCCTATTTCAATTTCCTGTTTTTAATCTATTTGTTGTCTTAATAAAATTATTAATTAAACTAAATGCTGCTTAATAATAATAAAAAATATTAATAATATCTTAACCTATTAGCAACCCGTATTTCTTATTTTGGTCATGGCAGCTTCATAGAAATATACAATAACTCCCAGAATATATACGTGGGATGGTAGATAAAAATTAAGGATCATATAAGGAGTATAGAATGTTTATAATCATTTTGCCTCACCAACTAGGAAAGACTATAACTTTTACATAATTATATATTAAATAATATAACTTGATATTTTAATAAATAATATTTTGTCTAGCATGATATTAAAATATGAATGGTACAATATGGATTAGAATTTCATACTCTACATGTTGTCATGATTCACCAACCTTATTTTCCCCATGTCGCGTCCCCATTTTGAAATAGTGTTGTTATATTCCCTATAAACATTAGTGGCTTATTAACACTTTTGCCCTAATTTTTCTTTGCTTGCATCTTCAATTATGTTATTATGAAAGCATTTTTATTTACGATTTGTTAGACTTGGGTTCACTCCAAAAATGGAAGACTTAGCAAAGAAAGGAGAAAAAAAGGTGACCTTTTTAGTAATGAAAAAAAAAAACACTCTAGCGGCTGTCTCCATCATTTGGAGGTTGGTTATTACTTACTTCAAAAGATTTCCACTTGGCATATCCTCTGATCCACTTATTTGATGGTGTATTCTTTAATAATAAGATACAATTGATGTTAGAAATAATAATAAGCTTAGATGGAAACCCACAAAATAACTTCTCACAATGATTCTAACCAATAAATAAAGTATTTTTTATTTGTAATCTTGTGAACTCTTTTTATCTAAACTAGACATTTTTTTTCGCTTCATAAAGGAAAGAGTTGAGTAGTAAAAAATTTTAATTAAAAAAAAACAAATACTAAAATGCATAAAATTACAATTCACATTTAAAATATTTATTTTTCCATGAGGGATACGTTGATTAAACACACACGCATCTCTATATAAATATATATCACTTCAAAAATTAACAATTTAAAAGAAAGAGTTATTGAAAGAGATAAAAATAGAAAGACAAAAGAGTTATAAATAGAGGTTTACAAAAAGGAGAGAAAGGGTCATAAAAAAAAGTGAGTAATGAAATTGGAAGCAAGATAAGAAAATGAATTCAATTTCAATAATCTAAAATTTGGGAAGAACGTACGTACATTTTTTCTCAAAGAAGTGTAAAATATCTCAAAAATGAGTAAAGAGTATGAATTAGACATGTATATACTACGTATTATGTCGATTCATGTAAACGTACATGTATATATTACGTATTACGTATTACATGGTCCATCTGAATGACGTAGTAGTTGTGTAGATATTTTCAAAATTGTTAGAGATTCACATTCGTCATGTTCTGCGACCGATGAAATATACGGACGTAGTAAGTTATTTACACAGTAGTAAAGAAAAATTGAGTTTCTCATATATTTGAATAACTTCAGATGCAAATCTGCTTGTATTAAGCAAAAGTTAAGGGAGAAATAGTTGAGTAATGTATCAACAAACCAATTGGGATGGGATGCAAAAAAGGGAATGAAATAGGTAGTATAATGACGAAAACCCCACCCCACTCCCACTTATTTTGTGAGTGGTGTGTGCTGCTACAGCCTATTTAAAACGGGCACATAGTTTAGGAAGAGGAGAGAGGCAGGTATGGAAACAGCAGTGGTGGTGCACTTTCTTTGCTATTTTTTCATACCAATTTGTTGGTGCAGTGGCAACATAGTGCAGGCTATTGAATTACCTAAGTACACATTGATGCTGTCTGAATCAGATTTTCAGATTAGACTCTACAATGAATCCACATGGATATCAGCCCATGTTTCTGGAACTTCCTTCTACCAGTCCTACAAAACTGGATTTCAAAGGTTTTGTCTTTCTTTTCTTGTTTTGCTTCATCACTTCATGCATGAGCAATTGATATCAGTTACTTTTCATTTCGCAATTTCCTAAATAAGATTTGGTATAAAAAAACAATTATATGCTAATACTAATCGTGTCATCTATGTATATCTATGCGGTTGAAAAATTGATAATGATGTTGACATGGTTTAATTTGGTGTATAACATAATCATTTTGTTAATATCATATTGTTAATGATGCACCAGGCTATACCAATATATCCATGGTGCGAATTCGAATTCTTCAAAAATGGCATTTACTGCTCCAGCCTTAACAAGTGTGCCCTCGTCATCATCAGCCGTTGGGGATGGCTATATTGTAAGAATGTTCATATCAACTCGGTTTCAGGGGAAACCTCCGCTGCCGAATCCTGAACTGAAGCTGCGGATAGAGAAGTGGAAAACTCAGTGCATAGCAGTTAGGAAGTTCAGTGGGTATGCCAATGATGATAACATTAATAAAGAGATCGAAGCACTTTTAACTACCCTAAACAACCATTCGTTAACAATACAAGATACGGACTACATCATATTGGAATAATAATAATAATAATCCTGATTTTGATTCTAACAATCAAACATAAACATAATCCCATACTGATAAACATGCTGTAAACTGAATGCGAAAGCGTACCTGAATTAGCCATAACGATGATGTCTTTGTAGAGCACTATATTGATCTTATGGTCTTCCACCTGAAGAGCACCTGTAAAATTTGCCAACAATCTCCCACTGGTCACAAATATATATGTCTTTACAACCTTACAAATGTGTTAGACTTTATGAGCTCAAAATTGTCATTATATTCCTTTAGCATATTCCAAAAGTCCTGTCCATTAATCATATCAGGATATAGAACCAAACCAGCTTTTCATTGCATCATCGCAACTAAAACCAACAAGATTACTCATCCTGACATAACCAAATGACATGGATTCATCATGAAATGTGTAGCATAAAAAATTACGTGAAGATGATCTGTACACGTCTATTTTCAACTGGTCCAAACTTTAACTTATCGAGATCGATACAATAACCTTAATGTACAAAGTGTAATGAATGAACAAGAAAACCGCATATCTATAGATAACCAAATATGTCCAAAAAAACAATGTATACATATATGAAATTAAACATAGAACATAAAATATATGAAAGTGACTAACTCCCACTAAACCACAAATTCCTCAAACTGTAAAACACCCATGTGAGCAAAATGCTCATGAAAGACCTTGGGCGGAAGTCCTTTAGTCAGAGGATCTGGTATCATGGAGTTTGTCCTTAAGTGTTCTATGAAAATCTGTCCACTTTGCACTCTTTCCTTAACAATACAACTGATTTATTGTCACAATATAACTTAAGTGGTCTTTCAATGCCTTTCACAATTTGCAGCCCTGTGACAAAATTTATCAGCCATATTCCATGATTTGATGTCTCATAGTATGCTACAAATTATTGACATCCTGCAAAATCTGAGTCAGAAAACCCAGTGATCTCCAACTGGTCTGACCTCCTATATGTGAGCATATAATCTTTTGTTCTCTTTAAATATCTTATGACCCTTTTTGCTGCTTTTCAATGGTCTATTCCTGGATTGCTTAAATATCTTCCTAGAACCCCAACTATATATGCTATGTCTGGATGCGTACATACTTGGGCATAGATCAAACTCCCTACAACTGATGCATAGGGAATCTTTTGCATTTCCTCAATTTCCAAATTCCCTTTGGGCACTGATTGAGACTAAACTTGTCTCCCTTTAAACTTGTGATACATACAATCATCAACAATATTCATCTTGAAGCCAAATGAGTTTCATACCTTCTGGTAATGGGACAAGTTCCCAATAACCTTATTGTCTTGCATAGACTTATACTTATCCTATTGTTTCAATCTACTTTTGAGATTTAGAACCTTATATAGCTTGACGGAAGTTAACTGGGTCATCTTCCATTATATCATTATTTTCCTCATGTTCCTGAAGAAATACCATGTAATCATCCGAAATAGCACTTCTTCTTTCTCTAGTGGATCTCTGCAAAGTTATTAGCTCATGATGCACGAGGTTCTTGAGGATCTTGAGTTTGTTCTTCATGAACAACCAAATCATCTTGAGTAAGGGGTTCATCAACAATGCCTTGTGGAGGTTCAGAACTTACTTTATCAAAAGTAACTATTTGAATTGGTTACGAAATTGTTCTAGATTCTTCCTCCAAGATGAAGTTCTTAATCTTATTCTTCCCCCCAAACTCAATATCCTCAAAGAACGTAGCAGTTCCAGTCTCAAAAAATTGTCTTTAATGTGGGATCATAATATTTATATCCCCTGGATCTTTCAACATAACCAATAATATAACCACTTACTTGTTCGGGAGTCCAATTAAACTAATTATGCTCACATTATATAAAAAATAAATAATATATATTCAAATAGTGGTTTAACCCATCTCAAGATACCCAATGCACCATCAATATCAAGTCTTTGGACGATAATATTAGCTGCTAGAGGTATCTTGTTGTAATAATCAAACATTGACAATAAAGCACGTCCAACAACAAACCAGTCTTTGGATTGATTTATCATCGACAAAGCAAATCCTTATAATTATCACATGTTTATCATTACAAGTGTGTATGCAATTCGGCCAAATATTAATCTTCCTTTGGGTCGACTAATACTCGCATGAATATACACAAACACTAACATTCAATATTTTTCATGAACTGCCCAATTCAAGAGAAGTTACTTTGGTGACTTCTTGACTCAATTTGCTCACAAAAAATATTAAACTACCAAAAATTGAATATTTTATTTATATAACAAAACCAAATATTTAATATTTGCAAACTAATTCAAAAGAGAATCACCTCATTATAATTCTACTAAGGATGAACACCTCCCTAGAATCTCATTAGGGATGAACACCTCATTTGAACAAATCAAAGGATGAAAAATGCCTCATTTTCCACCAATACATAAAGGATGAACATCTTCCTAAAATCACACTAGGGATGAAACAGAGATAGTTACGAGTCTCTTTAGCATACTGCTCTAAACCCTAAAAGGGAATTAAACGAGTAGTCACTCGGACCCTAATTTAACATCAAATTTTCCTTAAATTCCTAGGGGATAGAGGCAATAAAATAATAACGACCAAACATGTGGAAACATTCATCATTTACCTAAGATTCTACGTGTTGGGAACTCCACAAACACCACCCCCAATTCCAAACCCATAAAATTAAATAAAAACAAAAGATTCAAAAAAGAACGAGAGAACCCAATACAAGAAAAATTGAAATTTGAAACACTTGTTTCTTTCTCGGTAAAACTTGAAACTTAAACTTGAAACAAAAGTGAAAAACGAAGAAGAAGAAGAATCCATAGCTTCCTCCACGGTTCCATCAGCAAGCGGAATCAGATTGGGGATGTTACCCCCAAATTTAAATTTTAGGGTTCACAAAAATTAGAGATTATCCTCCACTTAGGGTTCATAAAATTGGGTAATCTGAATTGTTTAAAACAAAATTAATCCTAATTTTCATAATTAGGGTTCTATAAATTAAACAGACATGAATCAAATATGGGCGGCTCTGATACCAATTGTTGGAAAAACAATTGTAATAATCCTGATTTTGATTCTAACAATCAAACATAAACATAATCTCATACTGATAAACATGCTGTAAACTGAATGCGAAAGCGTACCTGAATTAGCCATAACGATGATGTCTTTGTAGAGCACTATATTGATCTTATGGTCTTCCACCTGAAGAGCACCTGTATTTCCCTCTTGATTTTCTCTCTTGATGGGGATAGAGAGAAAGGAACGGGACTGTAACTACGTTCTGTCTGTGTGCTCTCAGAAGGGGACCATGACCCTTTAGATAACCAGAATTAGGTTAATTACTTAAGTTTTAGTATTTCCAATTTGGCCCCTCATCAAATTAGAAATTGCTCTATGGTCTCTACACAATTTTATTTTCATGACATATGCTTTTAGCCAAAACTTTAATTTAGTCAGATCACTTTATTATTTGGCTTAATAAATAATGACCTTAACACATTTAAATATGTATCATATATATACATGACCCAAAATTTGCCAACACATCATTGCCATTTACAATGCTTCCTCTCATAATACTACTGATCGCTTAAATGAAGTCTGGATAAAAGTGTCGGGACTCAGGACCGAGTGCTGAGTGTTGTTCCTCGTTTGAGTGCAGTATCTTGTTTTTGTGTCATTGTGCTTTGAGTGGCTTGCGCCAGTGATGCCATGTGTCAAATGTCTTGCTTCGGTGTTTGAGGGTCAAATGTAAATAATGTTCCCGCTTGAATTAATATGCATGTATGATGAGAATAAGCATAGCTATTAACAGTAAATAAATATAAATTATAAAATATTTGATGGTTTATTTAATATATACAAATAGTTCATAATGGATGGTTTAGGATAAGAATTCTTTGTTACTATTTGCTGTTTAGCTTGCATTTTAATATAAATAGAGGTCAAAGCATTATAAGAATCCATTCAGAGAAACACGATAATTCAATTCTTTGAATGGGATTTCTTAGATTATTCTTTGTTTCACTCATATTTTGAACCGTCAAGGTTTAATTTTGTTAAATTCTCTTTTTATAACCAATTAGCGTATAGAGTTACGGGATTAAGTTTGACGTGAAAAATCTATTGGCAAAACAATGTCAACTTATATGAACTTATATAACAGGTAAAGATGTTTGTTCTCTTCACAAATCAAGGATGTGACATAGTTTTTGAAGAATAAGCATTTTCAGCTAGTTAACATTCGCACAATGGTGACGATGAAAAATACATATTATCGAAGTTAAGAGGTGAAGTTCTAGCAGAAGACTAACAAAAAAATAATTCTAGCAAGTTTTGGAAAATATCTCGAAATTCGATGCATATAAGCGGTTCACAGACATTTTGATAACTTCAAATGATGTGGATCAAGTTGTTTTCTTCTTTTTTTCCTTGTCAAGAGTATATGACAATGTAGTAGATACAGACAATTTAAGTAAATAATGAGGTCCAGATCTTCAGTGAGAGTATAATTTTGTATTTACAAAAATCTGTAAACACAACAGATGTTTGCCGAGGAAGTGACAATAATCTAACATCTTAAGAATTGGAAAGCGAATTATTGTTTCATTGGTTATAATAGCTTTAGTTTATGGTCTAACGGTAAGAGTAAAAATAGAGAAAAAGAACTAGTTCTTCCAAAAAAGCGGTGCTCTTAAGTCACAATATAGGAATAAGAATTGTAGAAGTATCATAAGTACCAAAGGGAAAGGAGGTAGCAGAAAACATCAGAACTCAAGAATGACTATTTTGGAATTTGATAGAGCAATTATAATCATAAAAAGTCGCATGATGGAAATGTTAACGCCACAATCAGCAAAAGAGTAATATCCTCTCTTTACACTTGAACAACAGCGTTTTTTCCTCTCTTTCCTACTTTGAAATTGCTCATAATATTCACTTTCTCTTTTAGGTATTCAGCCTTCCACAGGTA